GCCGATATATATAATGGAAGGGGCAAAAGCACAAAGAGAACAAAGGGTGACCGAATTGGAACGAAGACGTCCGAACGGGAACAAAGGGTAGAGGGGGCGGAGCGGTACCGAAGGTCATAGGGCAAGACCTGTGATACGTCCGAAAGGAGGTAGAGAGGGCGAGGCCCAGAGGGGCAGGAGGATGAGGGGAAGTGGGGATGATGACTAACTGGCTAGAATAGAAAGAAGCAGTAGTCCAAATAGGGATGAAGGGAAAATGCGAGAAATACATTACAGGCGGCGAGAGTGCCGAAGGCGGTCTGCGAAGCTTGGGGGTTGCGGAGCTTACGGAGGTTACGGAGGTGGGGTTGGAAGTCCGAGGAATATTGGCAATGGTGTTTACATAGTATGAGGTCACCAATGCAATGGACTAAGACCGAGGTGGAGTCAAAGTCCGAGGTAGGGACTATGATGGAGGCTCGGAGTAAGGTACGAATGGTGTCCGAGTGTGAAGTACGGAGCAGTGGTGGATGGTCGTAACTTGGCGGAAGGGTAATGGGAGGAGGAGAGAGGGGACAGGTAAGGAAGAGGGAGTGGCGGAAAGGAGAGTAGTCAGGTCCGAAGGTGAGTATCGGAACGGACGGAGAAAGGGTCGGAGAGGTAAGAGGAGGGGTGTGTTGCCAAGACCGAAGGTGAGTATCGGAACGGCAGCGGTAGGTTATGACTCCGGAGGTGAAGAGGGTGGAGGTCCGGAAGTCAGGTCGGGGTCAGGTATGCACGGATATGACAGGACGGGTCAGCCACGGGTACTTGGCGCTCCTCAATGGAGCGTACCGTGTGCGAGGTCGCAACTTGTGAGATGGGTGAGAACTTCATATAGTTGCCATCGGGTACTTGGCGTTCGCAGTGCGAACGTACCGGTAGCGGGTTGATGTCATAATCGTGCAATGAGGATTGACTAGTAGGGCCTTTGGTGACTTGGCGTTCCCAAAGGGAACGTACCGTTGGCGGGGAAACATGATGACTGGCGAAGGAAGGAACAGACGGTGGATGGGTGGTGACTTGGCGTTTGCGTAGCGAACGTGCCGGCATCACGGGAAGGCGGGCTTCAAAGTATTCATGATCTCCATGATCGTGAGGTGACGTCGTAGGTTGAGTACTGGGGGGAGAGCGGAGTGATGAAGACCCATAGGGTACAGATTCAATAGGACGATACACATGTCGAGAGTCTTCGACTCTCGACCTTGAGTTCTCGCGGCAAGGGCCGTTAGAGGACTCAATATAACCAGACTTATAAGACATATTGAGAGTTGTACAGTCACATGGGTTCAGTTGAGTCACAGGGAGGGTTGTTACAGAAGACGGTACACAAGACAGTTGTAGAGCAGTTGTTAGTTAGCGGGAACCGCCTTCAGCGGTTTCCGTACAAGATGCGTGACTATCTACAAATGGTAAGGTCACGGGAAATCCCGCGAAACACAAACAACCTCGGCCAGCACCAAAACCCCAATGGGGAAAGCTTTGCACAAGGGGGGGGAAAGGGGTAGAACGGGTAAGGAGGATAGGGTATCGGGATAGAGGACGGAAGGGAGAAAGAGGGGAGGAGCGATAGAGAGGGGAAGTCTTTGACCATGCGACGGATATGGTCGTTGGAGACTCTGTATCCGTAACAATCACCTCCGACCTCAACTCAGACAGAACCCAATCTGTCTTCTATTCGCCCTCTGACAGTCTGCCAGACTCTAACAATATCCCAGTCTCTGACAGTATTCCCAGATCTCTGACAACACCTGCACATGCTCATGACCTGCTGTGCCTAACTTGCCCAACACATAACTCTGTCAATTCTCCACCAATTGGGACATTCTTGGTATCGATGGGATCGTAAGAATTAGCACTACTGTGGTATAATGACCATTAGTTCAATCCCACAGCCTCCGGGAGTTGCCGGAGGTGTTGAACCAATTCAATCATGTTCATTTTCAATTCAATCCAAAATCTTCATGTGACATGTGATGAACTTATGGTCATTATAGGACAGTATTTTAGATACCAAATTTGTACAGGTTGTTGTGTAAATGGAACTGGGTTTTCTGAATGTGTGAATGGGTATCTGAGCTGGTTCTCCATGTGGGCAATTATCCCACCTACAGCATGCACAGTGGGAGAGGCTAGATTGGATTAGGTGTATTCTGAGTTTGTGTCATGACCCAGCAATTCCCACGATCAGGTGCTCACTCCCCACCCCTTCTCCCACCTCCACTCCAACCCTGTCCACTCCACTCCCTGCCCAATGCTGCCTGGACGAGCCCATCACCCTTCCCCATCATTGTTATGTTTTTCATGGCCCACAATGGGCCTACATTCATTCCCTATTTACTCTTGTTTTCTTGATGGCTATGCACAGCCATCCTTCTCCCATGTTCTTTGTTTGTTTTTTTAAAGCCACCTGCAATCTCTGTGAAATCTGGCAACTAATCCCCATTCATTCTGTTACACTACTGGTTGTACACTACCTCGTACCTTAGTCCAAAAATCAACTAGGGTTACCCCCTGTGTGTCTTGTCTGACTCAGTCACACTCCCTGTACCCTGAAATATCAGGGCTGCATCAAGAATGAGGCGCAATGCTCACAGACGAGTCGTTGAAGCTGAAACCCCACTTCACCACAATTGTCAACCCTGCCCTTAACAGGCTGTTACACCGAGACAGCCAACCTTAATGGTCACTGATGGTGAACCACAGTAACATTCCCCACGCCCTGACAGTTTGTTGGCATTGCAGTTGAAAACTGGGGTTGCAGTTGTGTTCAGTGATGTTAGAGGAGCATGGAGTTGTCTGGAAGCGGAGAAGGGACTCAGGAGTGGAGGGACCTTGGCCTCAGTGACTCAAGTGGAGCGCTGTGCTGTTGCTTGTTGTCTAAGGTGGTCCTTAACTTCAGGTTAGCAGGGAGAGTCTCTTTGGGGGACAATCCAGTTGTCATTGTCATTGATTTCAGACTGGGGGTACAGGAAACTAAGTACAGAGTGCATATATAATAATACAGGAGTGGAGTTAGAGGACCCAAAGGGAACAAAGGGAACTGGAAGGAGACAAAGGGGGACTGGAAGAGGGAACAACCCCAAGGGTCAAGGGTTGGAACTCTATGGTGCTTCCCAAAAGGGCAAGGCCAAGAGGGGAAGGAGTGGAGGGGGTTGTGGGGAATGACAGCTGACTAATATGGAAAGGAAGCAGCTGCCTAAATAAGGAAGAGGCAACAAGAGGATTAAATGACACCATACCGTAGAGACTGCAGGGTCCAGAGTAAGTTCTGGAGGTCCGGAGTCAGAAGTCAAAGTCCGGAATATTGGCTAGACGTAATAAATGAAATGCAATAAGGAATACAAGGAGATAAGACGGAGGAGGAGGTCAAAGTCCGGAGGCAGAGATGTGACCGGAGTTCTGGAGGTGGAGGTGTGATGGTGTTCCGGTACAGGAGTCCAGAGCCGGAGGTAAGGAGCATCGCAAACTCTGGTCTGGAAGGTATGAGGTTGGGATCGGACCTGGAGTAAACCAGAGTCGGATTGGAGGTAGTGTTAGATGTTGTGTTGGAGCCAGAGGTAGAGTGGGCTCTTAACAACCAACAGGGGAGGTGGTGGTGGAGGATGTGGAGTTCTGGAGGAGGAGATGGAGGTCCAGAAACAGGAGTGGAGGTCCGGAGTTGTATGGATATGACACCAGCTCCCTTTGTCCCCCTTCAGTCTACCCTTGCTGCTTTTGACTCCAGACCCCTCCTATATATACAATGTACTTAGTAACTTGTAACCTCAGTCTGAAATCGACTTGATTCCCCCCTAGAGACTTTACCCCTTGCTTGATCCAAACCCAGGACAACCAGCAATGGCACAGTGCTCCACTTGAGTTGCTGAGTGTAAGGGAGATAGGCCACATACTTGTGGCTGTCAGGGCATGCCGCTCCCTCCCTTTGTTCCTCTTGTACATTTAATGGACTGGGTGTGTGAGGCAACAACTGACTGTTGTGAGTGATCTCGTGAACTCAACACTTATAACATGTTTACACTGAGGCTGTCAGAGACCAGGTTGAGACAAGGGAATGTCTCCATGGCAGAGGGCTTCAGCCTCAGTGACTTATGCCAGGAGCGCTGTGCCAAGTAACACATCCGTGCCCTAACTTACTAAACTGGCAACCAGAACTGAAGGGGGTAAACTCTAGTCGATTTTATTACTGAGGTGTAACCTATGTACAAGTTGAGTATATATATAGTTGCAACGAGGGCGGGTCTGCAATTGGCGGAGTGGAGCTAACGGGGTTAGACATTAGCCGATTGAATATTACCGACGAGTCGGGTTACAGGGTTAACGGAAAGGAGGGATAGGCCCAAAGGTGGGCTTTGCAGGGCAAGCGAGTGTATTGCCCAGCGGAGGCGGGGGTGCGCTAGCGGACGTCAGAGCTGTCCAGAAGCCTTCAGGGCTCCATACTTAGGGAGGCGTAGGTAATAAATTGAAAGGAGGGGGTGGTGACCATCGAGGGGTACCGAGGGGATTGCAGAATACGGGAGCTCTGAGGTTAGTGAAGAAGGAGCAGAGGTAGACCGGAGGGATCGGAGGGATCGGAAGTTGATGGCTGGGGATGGATATGACAGAGGCCAAGGTCCCTCCTTGCTAAGTCTCCAATTCCATTCTGGAACCATCCAAACCTGCAGTATCTAACAGTAATGAGGTGACACAGCTGAAACTAATGAGCAACAAATAATTGGGAATAAAAGAGAGACAAGGTTAATAATGAATGAAACAGAGGTGGACAGAGGTGAATAGAGGTTGGTGGATACACAGACATGACACACCCAGCATGATGGTGCTTCAAAGTGAGAGCTTGATTACAAAGTGGATGAATCAAGAAACCTTTATTCAAGTCAATCAGTTGGTTTGCTCACTTCAGTCAAATCCATTTGAAGTGCCCAATTTCAATCAAGGGAATTTGCTGATGAAGGCATGCATGTAGCAGCATCAAAAATAGGTGTGATAAAAGAAATGGAAATGTAATTGATTTATTGTACTATCTTCACAATGCAATTCCAAGAATCAATTTTTGTAGTGAAAAGATGAAGGTGTGTTTTGTCAGTCTTGGGAAGTGGGTGGAGCATTCATGATATTTGCAGCTGCTCTCTCCACACGTCTTGCTTTCTTTGCTGCATTTGCAGCCGCTTGCTTCGCCTTTTTAGCCTCGGCTCTAGCCACGGCCTCCGCGGCCTCCACCTCCGCTTTTGCACTCGCTTGCGCCTCAGCCTCAGCCTCTCTCCTCAGACGCTCCTCATCTTCCTTCCTTGCCAATGGATTGATATTGCCTTTGCTCTTCTTGCGATCGCGTGCCTCCTTTTCCTCTAGCTTGATTCGTTTGATCCGGGGGTCAAGAGTTAGAGCTAAATCAACCAAAGAACGCAATCGCGTATTGTCTTCTTTTTTGCGGCGAGCCCGCTCGGTCCTGTTCTTCTTCTCGGTGTATCTTTTATCATCACGACTTTGACACGTCACTCAGCAACAATAGGATGAAATGAAAGAGATCCAAACCCACCTGTCACTTCCTTCATTAACTTCCTTATCCAGATACTCGAAGCTCCGCCAAGAGTCAAAGTTGTACCAGAAGTTGTAGAATCCCTCGACCTGAGCCTTGGAATCATCCAGGGTGCCAAGCAATGGGACGGGTGTTTGCTTTGAGAAGTGTGCTTCTCGTTCGAAGGTGGGCCTAAAAGCCTTGAAGAAACCTTCGGGAGTTTTGGAGAGTTTGGAAAGTTCGTTGTGGTCCACGTCTTCTTCCAATTGGAGATAGTATGGATCTACCGAGTCAAATTGGCGCCGTTTTTCGGGGTTGCTGAGAATCTCCATGGCCTTTTGTATGCATTTGAAGAATTGGTCATTATCTGAGTCACCCTCCCCCGCTTTCTTGTCTGGATGATGCTTCAGCACTTTCTTGCGATCTATAGAGAATAACAATCAAGACGGATAATGGTGAGTTGGTGGATAGTGCGCACGAGCTATCTTAATCTGATCTGGAGTCGCTGCATATCGGAACTTGGAAAGACCAAGAACGGCGTAATGGTCTTGACGCTGGATCAGAACGCCGTGAGTCCAAGCGCTACATCGAGATGCAATAATTGAGACACCTTCCACTCCTTGGCATCAAGAGCAAGTAAGTCTCGGGACTCGGGCTCGTCTCCCACGCCGAGGTCATCTTCAATTTCTAGCCCGTTGGCTTTCGAGCTCTCATTCTTGAGTCTTTCCGCCTCCTGCTCATCCAAATCTTGGTCAAGTGTGCGCCGGTGCACGGTTCTCCGAGCATGCGCATAATACCCATGGCCAACTGGCAAAAGCACCCGAGGCTTAGGCACTTCAATACGGAATGAGAATATCAGAACCAACACGGTGCAGCAAATGAATAAGTAGAATACCGGAGATGGTTCTGGAGGTCGACGGCACAGGCGACCAGCCAGCAGGAGATAAAGGAACTTCCATAGGTGAAGTGAGAACTGCTGCCATTCTTGTTTGAAATTTTGCCCAGACGGCTGGCAATCACGTGCTGGTTTGAAGGTTGAGCTTACCTCTCATGAGCGGCGATCTTAGCAGGCAGAAGGCACCCTCAAATAGGCACCCCAACTCGTTGGCGACAGGGCCGTTTCCAGAGCTGCGACCATTGTCTCCTGTTGACTGGGAAGTCCCTCGCAAAGTGCTCCACAGCACTCCTGGTATGTTGGATTGCCCACATCTCCACCTGCCTTCGTCAAGGGTTGCGTCAGCTGATCCTTCCAGGCTTCGTGACCCTCGCTATTTATTTTTGTCGACCCAGGAGTTTGAATGGCATCATTGCTACTCTGTGGACTGCATTGGTCATTGTCGTGTCAGCGGATTTTTGGAGATTTTATTCGGAAGATTTTGCAAAGGTCTATGTGCGATTTCTTGGCTCGTTGATGCGAGAGTCTGAAAAGGCTGGCATGGTTTAGGCTTTTCAATACAACATCTTCCCTAATTCGTTTTTTTTTTGCTAGGCGAAGCTAAATGGAGTTGTATGGTACTTGATCGGAGTAATTGCTGTCCTCAGTGCCTATCCGCGAGATGTGGCTGTTGTTTCGATTCTTATGTCAGTGACGTTTGCCTGAAGCCAATGTGGAACTGCGCTCTGACAGATTGCGATAGATTATCGTGGGCGGATACTGCTGCCTCAACCATTGGCCGTCTGTATGGCCCAAAGACATCCAAACTGCCCCGAGGGTGTTTGGATTCATCCCCCTTATTCCGCGGAAAACTGTGGCGGGATCGTCAGCCGCGCTAGCGGTCGGTTTTTTTGTTTCGGTGGTGTTCTGGGGCACATGTACTTATGGGATGGGACGTGGAGTTGAGGAGAGCTGGTGGCAATGGGGTCAAACTCATAATGGCGGATGGGGAGGCTTGATAATGCTGGGGTTTGGTGTTGGTTTAATATCAAGTCTGGTAGAAGCCCTGAGTGTGTTTCGGACTTCATTCCCTGCCCCAAGCATTGACTCATTTCCATTACACACAGACCTGGGCTCATTAGATGATAACTTAACTCTTCCGATCCTCGGTGGTGCCGCCATCTGGGTTTGGCTGATGCTGCTTAGACATTGTACCGTAGCAATCTTCTGATCCCCTTTCGTAACTTGCAATATCCAACCCTCAGGGGGAAACATCCTCAGACGAAGAATTCACCCTTTTAGTGCTCACTCCCTCTAAGAGTTCGCCGAGGGCCTGTTCTCTCAAAGTTCATTTATATGTGGCGGTCGGCAATCGCACGATGCACTCACCTACTGTCTATTGCAAGCAACGCTGGCAACGGCGGGACATTTTACTCTGTACACAACATATATAGAACTCAAATGATTACAAAGCAGTGTTCTTGGTGACCCATACCAGTGCACCTTGGGTTTTTTTCGTTTTGAATATGCTTCTTTGTTGAGATAAGTATGGTGAGAAATCACAGTGAAAAACATGAAAGATGGCATTAATTTCAGAAACAAAACCTACGGATACCTAGATACATTCAATTCATCTGTAAAGTCAAGACAGAGAAATTTGGGCAGCGGGATTTGTGGTTATCGAGTGCATGTGGCAGTTGCCGAGCCCCGAATTCGCGCGCAAAGCAAGGGGGTGCCAGCAATTCCCGGTTGAAAGGTATGCGCGGGGGGGGGGGGTTCATGGACAGCATGAAGACGTAACTTCTTGTACTTATGCAACGGCGGTATATCGTATACTAGTTCAAGGAAACAAACACTACTTTTGGGCCCTGGGCTGGTGGTCAGGACATTTCCAGTTTTCCTCAGCTCAATTGTTGTAAACGGCGTTCCGGATAAGGCAACCCGGTTCCCAGCGGCTCACTCGTAGCACAGATGTAAGATAGAAGCGGGAATATAACTAGTGATTTGGGGATGATGTCCGTGCGTATATATATACAAAGGAATGAATAAGGGGGAAAATCTGTTGATGAGCGACACTTGACCTCGGAGCTGGACTATAAGTGGGAAGCTCAGTCTCAGCTAATATGCGTGAAGAACTGAATTGTATTACCTATAAGCGGGAAGCTGAAGGTAATGTATTGTTATTTAATGGAGGTACGAGATTAAATTAGACTTGTGTGTGGTTGGTCTAAAAACGCACTCTCTGTTTTTCTTTCGCATCTGGCACAATCCCCAGTGATGCTTCATTTTATGTGCCGTACCCGCTGTTGGCCTTACGCATACTGTGCCTTCTGAGGTTGCAGTCATGCCGATTCAGCTTAATTGCTGCTGCATTCCTGGATCAATTTCTTTGGACAAATTCTGTACGTGTTGTTCGTCCGCTTATGCTACTGGGCTCTAGCCCACTTTACCTCGACCTCTGCTGAAGATGTTTCTATTTCTTAAGTCTTATTTGTCAGGGCACACCTGCCTGACCCGGCCCCACCTAACCCGGTGCCCCACCATCCACTCCTCCCGACCTCCCCCCTCTTCCCCTTTTCTCCCTTCCCTTTCTTCTTCTCCTTCTTTTCTATTCTCTCTCCTCTTTATTCCTTTCTTATCACATGGACGACTTCCTTTGTATCAATGTACCATTGACCTGGCTGCAGTGTAACGCGCCCGAACCCGGACACACCGGATGACCCCCCGCATACCGGACACTCCTAGGACCTCTTACGGAGGTACCCGGACGGAGGTGGCTGTGTGCTTGGATGACGTGGCGCTTCCCACGTGGCCTTCAACCACATGTATATAAACACAGCCTAAGTGGGAACTGAGAAGCAACCTTCTTCTCACATTTCCCACTTTAGGCAAGTAGCTTACACTTCCCTTGATAATAACAATAACACATTTCCCACTTTAGTCTCAGTGGCCAGGGACCCTTGTCTGCTTTGGGCCCGTTGTTATGCGCGCCCGCATCATACCTACTGGACCCTCAGCCTCGGGCAATACACCTGGGCGCTCTCGACCCCGGGTCGGTCCCTGACAGCAGAAGAAGGTTTCAACCCCATCTCCCCCCACCTCCCCCACCATGGTGACACAAGAACAGTATGACGACCTGCTGGCCCGGTTCCAGGAACTACAGGCCACTGTGGTAGCCCAAGCCCAGGGCCTGCCTGCGCACGCACCCAGACCACCCAAAGTCGCCCCCCCCACCCCCTTCTCAGGAGTCAGAGAGGACCTTGACCGCTTTAAGGCCGAATGCGGGATCTACCTCTACGTCCGCGCAGCCAAATTCCCCAGCACCCTCTCCCAAGTCCTCTTCATGCTTTCTTACATGAAGGGAGGGACTGCAGGAGCATGGGCAACGCAACGCACCATGGCGCTACTGAGGACAGGCTCCCCTACACCCACCATGGATGAGTTCAATGCAGAACTTGACACCATGTTCCAAGACCCAAACCGGGCGGCTACAGCCCGGCAGAGGCTGGCTACTGTCCGACAGGGAAGTGACCCCGTGGACAGACTCATCCAGGAGTTTGAGATACTAGGGCCCACTTCGCAGCTAGGCAACGTAGGGCTAGTCGACCGCTTCGAGCGGGCAATCAACTCCCGGCTCCATGAGAGCATCTACCAGCTCTGCCCTATGCCCATCACCTGGGCCGAATGGAAGCGTGAAGCCACGCTCCTTGACAGCCAGTGGCGGCACTTCCAGAGGACGCAGCCATGCACGCCCCCACCCGGGCCCCCTCCACCTGCCCCACCCGCGACCCCTGTAACCCGTCCCAGACAAGAGATGAACCCGCACCCCGAGACCTGCCAGACCCGATGCCTGCACCCGGAAGACCTTCAAACGCTGATGAAGGGGCTGAAGGGCCAAGCGACGAAAGGACCGAAGGCAGGAGGGAAAAGACTAGACCCGGACCCAAGAGGACGCCCGGAGACCCAGCCTGTGGGGAGCACACGCCAGCCACCCACAAGGGATAGCTCACGCAGACGCCACGATGCCCAGGAGCCGTCACCAGCACCAAAGCTCCATCGAGTCATCACAAAGAAAAGGAGAAAAGGAGCACCCCAAGCCCACAAGGATGAGGAAACCACAGAGACGGCCCCAGAGGTAGCAGTGTCCCCACCTGCTATCTACGTCCTCTCCAAACGGTCCCCGAGATCCCTCAACCTTGCCGTGAGGCTGACCTCCCTAACCTCCCTTGCCTCCGTGTCTGTATCAGCGCTCCTAGACTCAGGAGCCACCGGAAACTTCGTGAGCCCTGAGTTCGTCCGGAGACACAAGCTAGAGACCACCCCGCTCCCCACACCCATCCCTGTCCGTAACGTCGATGGAACCCCAAACGAGAATGGGGCCATAACCGAAGAATTAGAGGCCCTCTTGACATTCGGACGCCATACAGAGCGGGCCCGCTTTGCAGTCGCGAACCTCGGGCGACAGTCCCTCATCATAGGACACTCATGGCTGCTGCACCACAACCCGGAGGTGGACTGGGTACGGCAAAAGGTCGTCATGTCCTGCTGCCCATCCTCCTGCCGGCCACCACGAGCGCAAGGTGACCAAGACCCCACGCTAGAGCCTGGAGACGGGATCTATGCCGCGATCATTCCTCCAGAGTGGGGACATGAGCTAAGAGCGACTACCACACCCTCCCAGCGGATGGCCCAAGAAGCCCAAGACCCGGAGGCGGAACCCGTATCGTTCGAGGCACTGGTGCCAGAGCAATACCAGGATTTCCGGGATGTGTTCTTGAAAGAGGCCTTCGATCAACTACCCCCCTGGAAACCCTGGGACCATGCCATTGATCTAGTGCCGGATGCCAAGCTCCCCAGAGGGAAGACCTTCCCACTCTCTCGGCCAGAGCAGAAGGAGCTGGACGAGTTTCTGCGAGAGAACCTGCAGAACAGACGCATCCGACCGTCCAAGTCCCTGATGGGGGCCCCAGTCTTCTTTGTTAAGAAGAAGGATGGGTCACCACGGCTAGTTCAGGACTACCGGAAACTGAATGAGATCACGGTAAAGAACTCATACCCGCTCCCGCTCATCTCTGATGTCCTGGCCCGCCTCCGCAATGCCAAGTACTTCTCAGCGCTAGACTTGCGCTGGGGGTTCAACAACGTCCGAATCAAGGACGGTGACAAGTGGAAGGCCGCATTTGCAACCAACCAAGGGCTGTTCGAGCCCTTGGTAATGTTCTTTGGGCTATGCAACTCACCTGCGACCTTCCAAACCATGATGAATGACATCCTCCGGGATTTCATTGACCGAGAGGTTGTCATCTGTTACATGGATGACATCCTCATTTTCACCACTACCCTAGAGGAGCACCGGAGGGTCGTCTGGGAAGTCCTGGAAACGTTGCGAAAAAGGAGGCTCTTCCTGAAGCCAGAGAAGTGCAAGTTCGAGCAGACGCAGATCAAGTATCTGGGACTTATCATCTCCGAGGGAAGTGTCGCGATGGACCCTGTGAAGATTGGAGGAGTCCTTGACTGGCCCACCCCAACCAAGGTAAAGGAAGTGCAGTCCTTCCTAGGGTTTGTGAATTTCTATCGCCGGTTCATCAGAGACTTCTCTGAGAAAGCCCGCCTGCTTCATGCATTGACCCGGAAGACCAAAGTCTGGAACTGGGGCCCGGATGAGGACCACGCCTTCCACGCCCTTAAGGAGGCCGTCACCACTGCCCCCGTCCTCTCCTTCCCCACCGATTCCGGCCACTTCAGGCTCGAGTGCAACGCCTCCAACTTCGCAACCGGTGCAGTCCTCTCTCAGCTTCAGTCGGATGGGGAGTTCCACCCGGTAGCGTTCATGTCCAAAAGCTTTACGGACGTGGAGCGCAACTACGAGGTATATGATAAGGAGATGCTCGCGATCGTCCGAGCCCTTGAAGAGTGGCGGCACTTCCTGGAGGGTGCCAAGGAGAGGGTTGAGGTCTACACGGATCACCGCAACCTGGGGTACTTCCGCACGGCCCAGAGGCTGAACCGACGCCAAGCACGGTGGTCCCTCTTCCTCTCCCGCTTCTATTTCACCCTCGTCCACCGCCCAGGGAAGCTTATGGGGAAGCCAGATGCACTCTCACGATGCGCTGACCACCCGAAGGGGAAGGATGACAACGAGGGGCTGACACTCCTCCAACCCACCTGGTTTGAAGCCCGGGCAACAGAAGTGATCTCGGTAGAGGGAGAGGAGGCGGGGATCCTAGAGAGGATACATGGAGTGAAGGAGCATGATGAGAGGGTGGTGAAAGCCATGCGGGAACTGGGAGAAGGGACCCTGAGGTCGGATGAATGGGAGAAGCAAGGAGAGTTAATCCTATACCGAGGAAAGGTGTACGTACTGAGAGACCAGCAACTCCGCCATGACCTGGTACGGTTGCACCACGACGCATGGGCAACGGGGCATCCGGGGCGATGGAAAACCCTAGAACTCGTTTCCCGTGACTACTGGTGGCCCCGGATGG